CAACTTCAATTCAAGCGTATGTATACTAACATACAATAAAAAAAATTTTAAACAAAAAAACTTTTCCTGTAAAATTAAATTTTTCAACATGCGATCATTCTGTGAGAATGCGACATTATTAATTGAATTTTTTTATTCTCAAACACACAAAAGCCAAAAGCCATATACCCCATTTAGGCATTTTCATGCAGGGTATTAAAACTTATGTAAATGCCATTTTTTACAAAAATATATAAATATATGTATTTATATGCATACATGCATGAAATATGTCGCTTTTAATTAAAACTCTGCTTTTCTCAATTGCAAATATTTGAATCGGCGAAATATTTTGCTATTGAAATATTGCTTTGATTAAGTTTTAATTGAAATCAAATACTCGTTCCTTGAATGCGAACTCGAATGAAATGTAGCGCAAAACTTTTCACATATACAAATGTGAGTTGACAGCGCGAAAAGCAGTTTAACTACAGCTGTGCGGCTTGACTTTAGCTCCACACTGTGATTGCAGTTGGTCTGGGATCTGCTTTGGGTCTGCTCGATGTGCCGCTGAGTCGCCTAAAAGCAGGCAACGGAAATTTCAATTACGAACTTTGCCTGCATTGAATATCGAACGGTGGCACGCGACAGCCAGCAATGAGGCAAGAAAAAGTGAAAAGCGTTTTTCAACTTGCCAATTCACAATTGTCGAACGCGTCGCAACAATGGCGCATTGATTGCAGGCGAGGGGCCAGAGTTGGGGGCGCAAAACTTTTCACTTTTTGCCAACTGCTGCACCGTCAAAGCGCACCCCCCCCCCCTCTCACCCCCTCTTGCTCTTTGGGGCCTTTTCTTGCATTTTCTATTCGCCTATTGAAACGCTAATTGCATGCGTCGGCGTCGCAGCTGGCGTCGCCGTCGGCAATTACACGCCCCGTCACTCCAGTGGCCGGCAGCGCAGCAGCCATTAGGCGACCCATTGGCAACTGGCAACTGGCGACTCCGTGTGGAGCAGTTGTTGCTACGCATTTGTTTATGCGTTTAATAAAAAAGTATTTGCATAATTGAAATTGAAATTGAAGCAGCCGCTTCAAGTGGCCGCGCACCACACCGAAACACCACTCCAACCACAATGCCCGCATCGAGCTGTGTGACCCTCTGTGTAAACTGCATTGGTAAATGTTTGTAATTAAAAATCAATCAATATGTTTGAGCTACGAATGCGGCGATGGCGTTGGCTACGGCTACAGCTACGGCTGGGGCGATGACTACGGCCATGGCCGGGGCTATGGCTATGGCTGGCCATTTGTGGCAACACATGTGGCTGCAACAACAGCAGCCTAGCGTTTGGTCCATTTGCCTGCCTGGTATTTTAATTACTTGTTTTGCCTGCTGTCGGTTTCTATTTTTTTTTCCTCTTCCACTCTCCCACGCCTCCTTACTCACTGTCAGTCCCTCCCCCCTCTATTTTGTTCTTTTATTTCAACTCCATCAATCATAAACAGTTCGAAGCTGCAACCGGAGAAGCTGTCCAGGCGAACGCTTGGTCACATGTGCGTATAGGATTCTTGCTGTAATTTCAGGCTTTCGTCTACCCTGTCAAATAAGCTGGCATAGGATATGCTTGCATATACATCAATTTTGATATATGTATATTGAGCTCAGCTTACTTATGCTGCATGTAAGGCTAGCTGAAACTGGACTAACTAGAATCCGATTACAATGACGCTCAAGGACAGTCTTTATACCCAGGAATATCATATAAGTCTACTGATATAAGTTTACTAAGCTTATCTGGACCAGAATATAGAACCCTACAATCGCTATAAGGCGTGTCGCTATAACCGGATGCAACGGTATATACATTCGCATTCATCAGCTCAACAACCTGTTGGAAGTGTAGCTGACCCGATGGAGTATATATATTCTAGCTAAGCATAGTAAGCTAGTCGATTTATCTCTGATCATCTTTTCGTATGCATTAATGGCTCATAAGATCTAGAGGCTTTTTATCGTTTCATATATAAAAGATCGATTTTTTTCAATGAATTAATAACTGCTCTAATTTTTAGCTTAACGATGCGGGGTTGTTATTAACATTGATTAATAAATTGAAATTAATTGGAGCTGGAGTCTTGAAATCTTGCATTCAGTTTCAATTAATCGATAAGTAATACCATTTGAAAGTTATCGGCAAGCATTATATTATCGAAATTTAGTAGTTAAATTATACGTGATTGGAGCTAGAGAATTCAAATTTTATATTTCGTTTCAATTAATCGATAGCTACTTCCCTTTTGAGGTTATCGATAAGGCTTTTTTGATTGAAATTTAGTTGTTAAATTATATATTCTCATGTTTGAAGAGCGAATATTTCGAAATTCAGCATTCAGTTTCAAGTTTATTTTATACAATTTTTCTTTACTAAATATTTTGAATATCAGCTTAAAATTTTACTAACTTCCTGAAAATGTATTTCAGTTGCAAAATGAACGCAATGTATGAGAAATTTTAAATTCAAAATAATATATATAAATGTTCAATATTGAAATGCGTTGAGTAAAGAAAAACTTTGATCAATATGAAAACATCTTCGAGCTGATATATTTTTCCTATAAATGTGCAAATTCTAGCAACGGTATCTACTAGTCGGGCAGTCCCGCTTAAAGCACTTGTAATCGTTTTTATTTTTTGTTTTTGTTTTGGTCAACATTT